TTGGTATATTTGGCTTTACGTAGAGCTGGTTGATCATATCCCCATTCCTAGTGTTGCAGCCAATTGTCTGATGACCTAATTTCCCATATCTCATGCATAATCACAATTAAAATCTTCTGAAAAGTTCCTCTCGTGTGAGACGGCCATCCGGACCCAAATGTGGCATATTGTCAGGATTGCCTTCTGTATAATCTATATATGTGGAGATAACCAGAATCATAGAACACTAGATTCTGGTTATCTCCACATATATAGATTATACAGAAGGCAATCCTGACACATATTAACTTTGTCCATACCATGGGATTGTTGTGCTGGTGATGGCCAGGATTACGATGCATAAGTGTAATGATCACTGAGGGTGAAGGAAGAACTTTCCAGGTGGCTCCATGATGATTAGAAGAGTAATGGTGCACTGTTTGGAAAGTTTTTCTAGATTATACTACCAGATGGAGGATACTCGAATATTCCGTGATATTTTTTCGGGAAAATAAGGCGAGAGTCTAGCTAAATCAGATGTGTATATAAGTAGCGTTTTATACCTCCTAAATCCTCATAATTCTGAATACCAAATATATCAGCAGTTCATTAATTCATCGATAATTTTCCGTAAACCTTCTGCTAATTTCTCAGGGATGAGGGTTTGACGGTGTTCCACGGGGTGCGTTGTATAGCCTAGTGAAGATCTAGGTGGTAAGTGAAGATTATAAATGGGTCAAAGGGATGACAGGTCTTCTCTAGGAAGAGATGAATGGGCAACTAGTTGCAGTAGGTGTTACACGTGGGTCTTGCTGATGAAGAACTGGGCAATGGATATATGGTCTTCCCGAAGAAGAGATGGGTGAACAAATGTATTGTAAAGGGTAAATAAAGAAGACGTTGCGTGAGGAGTAAATCTCTCTCACGCCGAACTATTATATACAAGAGTAGAAGCCTTTGCCAACCGGAATTAATCGTAATCAATTCTTGCCAATATCTTCGCATTAATGGCTGTGTTCTTGTCCTTCTCTTCATGACTCTCTTGCATATCCTTACATGACTTTTTACACGACTAATTGTATAGGGGAAGCTATTATTAAATTGATGTCTTTAATTAACTACCCCTTCATCTTATCACGAATTAAAATTAGTATTAAAATTCTAATTACGGATCCGTGAAATAATTAAACTCCGCAAGCTCTTACCTTTACAACAGGGATCTCCTCTAGAAGATACATTGCCATCCTTAAAGGCTATAGGGGCTCGGGAAGCTAACTTTCGAAAGAAGGCTGGATTAGACCCACGAAATTCTGAGTTTTGATCTCTATAATAAGATCTAGGTGCACTATGATTTGTACCACGATCTAAGTAGTGAGCTGGGCGTTGAAGATCAAGTCGAACCACACAATCTTTGCACAAGCTAATGTTGAAATACTGAACTCAGATAATAAATATTTAGACAGTAAGAGCGGGATAATAATTAACAGTACGTGTGGTGGATAATCCAATATCATTTAAGGTGATTCATGTGTACCTACTAAGGTGGATATTTATCTAGCTACATACGCACAGACCATTATGTGACTCGGTCTCAAGGAGCCGTGTTATTAGTATTCCGTAGGGTACGAATTTGGTACAAGTAGGTTACAGGTGTGGAGTATGGTGGTGATTCCTAAGAGTAGGAGGTATAAATTCAGCGTTAGTCATAGGGTTCACGTAAGAAGTAAAGATAAAATAAGTAGTAGGTGAGAAGGGTACAATAACGGCGGTCTTCTTTAGAGGAGAGATAAGTAAGTGAACAATAGGTATGAGTATAAACAGAAGATGATGCGTGAAGAAGAATACTCCTTCACTCTGGGTATATATGTACATCAGATAATAGGACAGCCCTAAGCTCTGTCTCGAACAGTATTACTACGCAATCCCTATGAAACGACCCTATGTTCCTGAGCCTGTCCTAATTGTTTGAGAACTTGATCCAACCCCGAGTTGTGTTTTAGAATGGAACTCCCCATGAGACACCATCCTAGTTTCCGCCACGTTTATCCATGAAACTCAGGCATAAGATATTACATACATGATTGCTTATACACCATAATTCACATTTGGGATGCACTTGTTGGATACTGTTATTAGTATCTTTCAACAGCTAACATACTCATCAAAGTCATAATTCTTGTGAATGTTCTGGTGTTGTCTGATATATGTACGAAATTCGCTCGAGAATCCATTGCGCATGTATGTTAGAGTATAGAGAAGACTTCGGAGTAAGAATTGCCTGAGAACGGAGAAGAAGTTTAGTTTGCTTAATTGGCTAATAGACTACAGGTACTATGATATATACAGTGGAATTACAAGGAAGAAAGGTTACCCGAAACCGACTCGACTGCAGAAATAAGTGAGATCCCAGACCAGAAAAGAATTATCCACTGACTCAGAATACTGGGTCATACAATAGAAAATACAAACAAACCAATGACTGGATTTGTTCGGGAAGAATGGGATTCAAGCCGACTCAAACGTTGAGTTCGATTGGATCAGAAGTATGGGCTATTGCCTGAACTCAGAAATATAGTTCAGGTAAGATGCATGCAACCACATTGGTCAATAGAAATAAAAGCAGGAAACTGTATTTCCAACATCTTGAAAGATCATTGATATATTGCCCGTAATAAATAGCCTTTCAGCTCAGTATTTATCCGTGGAATTTAGCCACCTTTTCCACGGAACCATCTACCCAAAAAAATAAAATGGTAGCAATGGAAACTGCGTGCACGGGAAAAAGTCTCAAAAAACCCGCAGCCCCAGCCAGGCGAGGCCTGGATACCTGGACCAAATGAAGTGCGCATATTCATCTATATCTCCCTTCTTTATAACAGTCGAGGTCAACTTGATCCAATCCACCATCTCCGTATTGGGTGGTGGGCTCGCTCCGTAGACTCATCGAATGGCTTTTCCCTCATGATTAAGGGTTGCTGATGAGAAGGGCTTCGACCCTGAAATCTGATCTGATAGTGGTTAGCATCATGATAATAGTGATAGGGGAATGTGTTGAGAGATGAAGACGATACAGACGGCGAAAGCGATGGGGAATCCTCGTCGAAGTGAAGACTTTGTTACTCAATCTCGGCTCTGCAGACTCTACAGTGAGATCTAGAGGTTTATTGGGGACACCACTGACAGGTGTTGAAAATAGTCCCCTTTAATGACTCGTCTGAAATGTTGAAACTACAAAATTGACTGAAATTGATGAATTTACTGAGATGATTAAAAATAACTGAATTTTCTGAACAATTAGACTTTCTGATGAGAGGAGTACATAAATTTGTAACAGTTCCAGTACATAAAGCTTGGGCGTCTGTGTGTCAAAAGGTAAGTTTATTTATTAACCGAAGAACAAAAGTAGTGCTATATCTAACACCCTATATATATATATGATTCCAATAATCCAAACACTAGTAGCTGTCCACCAGTTGTGCTCCCATTATTCAGGTGTGGGCTAGTTTCCAGCAACGTCTGGGACATGGGCAGTTCCAGACTTTCAATACAAGCGTAACTTTGCAGTGACACTATGAATTTTTCTGTGCTGATTAGCACAGGCTACAGGGATTCTATCGGTTTACTAGCCGTCTCAGCACACATATCTTCCTACATAATCTGTCAGAGAAAAGCTACGAATGATATAGTTGGGTCTGAATCATGAGCTATATTTAATCTAAAGAGAGAAAGTTCTATGTACAAGAAATTATCACACAGACTGTGTGCCGAGGCCAGAAGAATATCAGCCGAGCCGAGCCTAACCAGATCAAGATGAGTATAATTAGGCGAGCGCATGCTTAGTATAGTTCACAACTGTTACAGGTTCCTATGGATTATGAATAGACCCTTGGTCCGTGACACATTGTGTAATGTCAGATTAACATATTCCTACTTGTACTGTTGTGGCCAGATATCGTTGAAGAGGTTTCAAGGAGAAGGTTATACTAAAGTTTTCGGGAAAAGATTTAATGAGAAGGTTTCCGAGAAAACTCAGACAGCTAGAGATGGAGGGGCCGGCGTTATTACTAGTTCAGCCATAGCCTTAGTTGAGATCAAGTACTGTCTCGAGTTAGACTTAAGGAAGCTGGAGCGGCTACAAAGTAGCTCTCTAGATTCTCCATCTTTCATTCTTTTGATCTTTAATCTCGCAATCTAGAATTTATATAATCTTATATTTTCAGTCTTTCAATACTTGCTACATTCTTCGTACTTCTGTTTACCCCAAGTTATCAGACTTGATTGCTTGCTCAGCAACTCCATTGCTTGACTACGTGTCTCTTGACTGTCTTGTACTTCTTCGACTCTTGAAAACCTGGCACCTCGCCAGTTGAATCACATCTGGGTATCCTTTGTTAGTAGCTATAATCTTAAGAGTTATTCATACATTATCTTCGGCAGACGGCAATCTCCAGTACCCTTAGCGCACACTATAATATGTTCTTTGTCATCAAGAATACGCAATCTGCTTGTGACTCCGTTCCAACAAGACCTACCCGTGATAAGAAGCTGGATTTGAAGTAAATTTTTATTGTTTCAGAAATTCTTAACAAAAATATTCACTGGGACGACAAACAGGCGGGTATAGGTACGAAAATTTGCTGTATTATGTTGAAAGCGAAAATCTTCAGGCTGGAATATGCTACCGGGTGTGAGAAGAGATCACACAAATTGTCACAGAGCGGCACGAAGCTGGAGGTACATATTACAAAAGCATTATGCAATGAAAAAGGAAAGAGATAATTTAGCTACATGAAAGTCTTTAGAAGCTGAATAATTATTTAACCTTAAACCACGCTGACTACCATCCTAATACCGTAACTCTTTTCTGGTATCCATTCTGCTGGTCCTCATATAACAATTGTTATTTTATTCTAATAAACACAACATCAGAGGATTATTCTGTCTGATTCAAAGTTAGTAATAAAGTATTTACTGCAATATCAGACATTCATCACCATTTCTCACATTAGTTTTGTTGTCTTCTATCCATAAACTATGGTTTGAAGTTCTAAAAATGGGCTGTGCTCCACTCTATCACATAACTGAATACCCAGGTCAGATTTTATCACTACTGCCCATTCAAATCCACCCCCAACCCAGGCTAAATGGCACTGATGGGGTGAAGCTTGAAAAGTTAGCAAATTTTTTCAAAATCAGAAGTGAAGATATGTACCACTTATACTCGTTTCACCATGAAGAAAAATAGGATATAATTTGAGCACAACATTGTTGCCTATATGTGGAGTCCGACCAGTTATTGGATACCCAGCTATAGGGCGGTGTATAGAGTCAAAATAGGCTATTCGTACATGGCTATCTAAAATTTCAGTTTCACCACAGCGGAAAACCACGTAGGAACATTTTATTCTTGATGCAGTTAAGAATGTCAAGAGCCAAGATAATTTTTGGATTTTCATTCTAGAGGTATGCAGACCTTATTTAACTTGGGAAAAATATGGTTTTCTGATCTATTTTTCTTTAAGCTTCTCCCATGTGAATTACTTGGTAGGTTGTGGAGGAAAAATAGACAACAGGAGTAACTCACATCGAAGCACTAGCACAGCTGTTGGTGTAAAAATTAACCACTTGTTTCTATCTGATAGACTAATAACAAAATCAAAGAAGCAAAACTTGGTTGGTAACTAATTTCACATAGAATAAAGAATACAAGATGGATATATAGACTTGCCAAGCTCCTTATATACTTGGTCACTATCATTGAAGAAGCAAACACGGAAATGAGACAATTTATTGCTCAATTGTGAAGGATGACAAAAGTCTTGTTATTAGTCAACGTGAGTGTGTGTGTTTGATTGATTGATTAAATTTAACGCCGTGCCTATCCACAGCTTGTTACCTTGTTCATGTAATGGACAGCCCAGTCCCTATAGGACTACCCGACGCTCTAGTGCGCCTAGCAGCACATAGAAGTTACAAATTAGTCCGACCAGCTGTCCGCCAACCCTTGAATGAGATGATGTTGTGATAGGTCTGTGATTCAGGAGTACATACAATTTGTGGGAGCTTGTTACCAGTGATCACAGATGGGCTGCTGGGCCGGACAGGTCAAGAAGCGGAGCGGAGAATGATCTCTGTGGAATGAGGAAATACTGAATGGCTTGCTCTATCTACTGTGGAGGAAAGCTCTCTACTTTTAGTCCCTAGACTATTGCTTACTAATGATACTAACTCAACAAAGCAGGAGCAAACAGAGCAAACGCAGGCAGTCGCTTGACCATCATAACTTGAGCTGTGCACTGTAGCTGTGTGGGTCCAGGCACAATAGATGAGGAGATGCTGATGTGAGCCAAAGCTGGGAATGAATGGAAAGGAAAAGTTATAAATCACGAACAAGGCAAGGGATCGGGCGCGTGGTGGCCCAGGCTGAGGAGAAATTTGCACTTCAGCGCGGCAAAAGGGGGTTCTCTGGAAGATTGGGCTTGACATGATTCAACACATGGGCAAAGTCTGAGGTAGTCCGGTCATTTAGGTGGGACGAGGTAGATGAACTTGATGATAGTTAATCTAATCCGGCCCGACCCCACTAGTGTGTGGGTTTGTTTATTGCACTACTTTAGTCATAGACTATCTAGCTCATTGGGCTCGTCTCTGACCCAGGCCACACCTTGTTGTCAGAAATTGCCGGTAAAAGGATCACATTTGAGTAGTGTGAATTGTTCTATGTATTTGCGATATTCAGGTTGTTGTTAGGACACTGGCAGGGGTCTGATTTAGCTCATTAGCGAGGCGCTTGGAGTAGAGGAAGGAAGGGGAGATGGAGAAGGAAAAGGAGAGACAAGGTTTTATGTATATCAAGATACCAGTTAATTGACATTATTCACCGACTTTGTGACTGTTATGAATTTGTTAGATTTAATCTGGATGTGGTGATGCAGGGGTTATCTTCTTAATTCGGTTAGATCTGTGGCAACAGGATTTGGATTTGTTCAGGCTGGAAATTTGAATTTGTTCTTCAGTTCTAACAATTTTGTTACTTTTACATTTACTGTATAATTTGCTTATTGGGAACTCGATATTTTGATAATATGATAATCTGAACATATGAATTCGTAATTTTGATAATCTGAGCCTTGATTACCTTCATTCATACCTTCGCACCTTCGACCTTCGACCTTTGTAACTTTGTAACCTCGAACCTTTGATAATTTGTCTTCGTCGAAATCGACTCGACCTCTGCAGCTTAACAGCTTCGAAAATCTGCCAATAAGTAGATTCATAACAGTGACAGACAGCTGACTTCGTGACGGCACCCAATTTGTATTACTTCTTGTTTAACCAACACTGATCAGTGAGAACAGATCAGCAACAGCAAAGAAAAATTTTTCCGATACGTACTTCTGCTTGAATGCGTTCCTACAGAATTTCAAAATTATTAATAGCAAAGTATAGTTTCGAAAATGACATTGTCTTCCTCAGACCCCGGCATACTGAGCGATAAAGATGCTAGAAATCAATTTATTGTTGAGCAAATGGAAGACTATGAGGCAGGAGACTATACTGAATCGGACTCATCAGGAAATTTTGGTGACTCGTTCAAAGACTGGGAACATACAGATTTCGAGCTCTGTGACTATAGTAAGCTTATATTACTACGGAAACTTCTTCACAAAAATGGTGTATATGTCGAAACAAGAAGGACAAAAGCAGAGGTTATTGAGGCACTCACGGCCGCCGTAAAAGAAGAACTACCCTGGCCAAGCACTCTTAACAACCGCGTGTTAGAGCCTTCTAAAAATTTTGAGGATGAAAACTTGTCAAGAAATCTCTTTCGGAAACCAACCATAATTGAACCCAAGGTTGAAGAGGAGGCATTAGAGAAATATTCCCAAAAGCTGGTGTTCAACATTCACTACCAAAGAGTTCTGTTTGAGCCACAACCTACACGGCCCACACTCTTTAGTATAAACGAGCCACCATCCCGATCTCAACCCTCCAGAGACCCCAAATATAAATAACTTTCCAGGAAATACCAGCCAAAAGCGATAAATAACCGCTCTTTTTATGTTTGCGGCGCAAAAGGATGCTGGTCCTTCAATCACTCAGAGAATGAACAGCAAGATTCTAGGAATAAATTTAAAGAGAAAGTGAATTTGAAGGCAGAAAAGTGTCCTGTGCATGTAGATACCAACTGCAACCAGGATAATGATGAAATAAACCGGAAAATAAACACCTAGATTAATGATGCAACAACTGAGGACATTGAAGAGAAGAAAGCTAAAGCAGAGCAATTTTTAACGTAATTTGGATCTGTCCATCACTTATCTGAAGAGTATTCTCTAGCAGAATCTATCAATCAATCATTCCAGCATGCAGTGTCAGGACCACAAAAGCAAAGGGCTACAAAAGACCCGTTTACTCACGTCAATCATTTACAATATATCTTATTAATTGGGCGAATTGATCTGTCAACCTCAACTGTGGTTATTAAATTCAACTTGATACATGCATATATTCCTCTCATTTTATACTTTCATTACATGGATTCAATTCATATATACTTCAACAATAATATTAAACTCATACAAGCAAGTAAAGAATACACTTTGTTTAAAAAAAAAATCATAATGCCAACAAGTTGCAACAATTTCATAGAAGCCTTGGGTATCCGTTTATAAATTGAATGGTCTAAATATCTGAAGCCATGCTCCCATGATTATCTGTACCGAGTCACAATCACCTTTTGACTCTATCATCTTAATTGCAACCACATCAAGAAAAGATTTCATAAATGATGTGATTTGTTTGCGCAAAAATGAAACTTGATAGGTGCATTCAAAGAGAGGTGAGATAAGGGTTTGTACAATATCAAAGATATTTGGTTGTTGCCAGTTATGGTAAATGGATTGTATTTGGGCAGTATGAATTGTTCTATCTAATTGCAGTATTCAGGTTGTCGTTAGGACACTAACAGGGATCTGACTTAGCTCATTAGCGAGGCGCTTGGAGTAGAGGAAGAAAGAGCAGAGGGGGAGGAAGAAAGGAGAGACAACGTTTTTTGTATATCGAGATACCAGTTAATTGACATTATTCACCGACTTCGTGACGGCACCCAATTTTTATTACTTAGTGTTTTACCAACAGAAATTGTCAAGGATTTCTAGGAGGAAATACCTCAAAGAACAAGTGTACAATTTCGGACAAGAATTTATTGAAAGTTGTACATGATATTGAACTCTCTTCTCAATATGAATTAATAATTGTTAGAATTTAGAATAATTGGAGCTATCAAGTAGGCCACATTGTTGGTACACACGTGACTACAAATTCTGTGCTTAGTTTCACTTCGGCAGTTACTTGAATCAATGCGCTCTACAACCTCAATGACTGAGGAGCCATTATTTCCTTAATAATATATAATATTCCATTAACTTAGTTTAACATATACAAGTAAGTCTGTCCTTAAATATAGATCCCCGAGGCTTTAGTGATCCCAAACTCCAAGTGATCTAGCAACAACCAGCCTCTTAATTATTGCAAGATAGCATTTCCTAGCCACTGAACCTCATGCCACCCAGCTAAGCTCAACCATATGCAATCGGATCAATTGAATCGATCTTGATGATTATACTTAGAAATCTAAACCTTCAGATATATTAAGTCTAGATTTCCAACATTTGTACAGTGCTCCTTGCCTCTCATGTTTCTTGAAATATCATTGATATATTGCCCGTAATGAATAGCCTTTCAGCTCAGTATTTATCTGTGGAATTGAGCCAGCTTTTCCACGGAACTGTGTGAATATTGGCGTTGGTAGAAAAGCAGTGAGGAAATTTACGGATATTAGTCACGTGGTGTCAGTGGGGCGTTGGGGTTTAGTTCTGTTCATTATTCATGTTAGATACATACATATAGATAAACGTTTTGATCAATAACCATTTTACCCAATCTTTGTGCTAGCAAATTAACCAGAGCCGGTGATAAACCGACACTGATCAGAAATCCAAATAATCGGTCACAGATCCTTATGCAGTATTCATACGAAGGAACGTCCCTTGGAGTCGTCGACCCTGTCTGAACTGAGCTGCAACATGTCAAATTTGAGAAGTATTAAGTATTTGCTCTTCTTGCTTCCACGTCCATTAACCCAATAAATTAAAAAAATAATGTCTCTCAAGCCATCCTCTTCTACTCCACTTAAATTCGACTCTGACAAACAATAACAACATATATTCAGAATAGGCTGGATCTCTATAGAGCGAAAGATGTACCAGGTGATCCTCTATGGGAAAGATGGGTAGAAGACTTCGAGGACTGGGATGTTGATCTCTTTAGTAAAGTTGACTCGGAACTCAGGAGAGAGTTCCGAGATTATCTCATTTCTCGAGGAATTTATATGACACCAAATCCGAAGGGAAAATATACAGATCAACAACTTGCAACAGATGTTAAGAGAGAT